TAACGTAACCGTTGACAATACTGTCGGTCGAGCCATTATTGAAAAGCTGCTGGTCAGAATGTAGCAAACCCCTCAAACCCACCAAATCCCTAAAATAGTCATTGTTGAATCCTCTAGCGGCGCCAGGTTGTTGTCTCCACCGCTAGCCGGGCAGTTCCTCCGCCTAGTGGCCGCGAATTGCCCGTTTATGTTTGTCTCGTTGTATATTCTTGTCCGAAAGGTCGTGCACCTCGCCTGCCCTATCGTGTGCCCACCTATATATACACGTACCGAAAGGACGAAAAAAAGGAAAGAATTTCAACATTACCAACATATTGTACTTTTTTATTATTAAAATTGCCGCCTCATATAATAAAATTGCCACATTTTTGTTTATATTGTATTCTAAAATATGATATCTCACTACAAATGTATATGCTGGAAGGTTATTGTTAGATGGTCTAACAAAAGACCTATAGTCTTTTAACCAGATTTATTTATTTTTCCTTTAATATATGGCTTTCGGATCGAAATTGATTAACAAAGATGTACCTGAAAGGGCAACAAGTTCCCTCTGATTGAAACCTTTGCCACTAAAGGAGGTAATGAGCGCACTCAGACTGAGAGTCGGTGCTGGGATTTGGTTGTTGGCATCGCTTCGACTTGCGGTGGTTGAGTCCCTCCTCCCGAGCCCAACTTGCCAGCTTGGACCTCCGAGCTGAATCGAACCAAAAAAAAAAAAAAAAAATCGATTAAAAAAATTGACATTGTTAGTTAAAGGGAGTTAATTTTATATTGATTAGTTTTAGTAATGATTATTACAGCAACAACCCCATCGCGTGCTGCGATGGCCAAGATGTCAGCACACGAGACGACCCCACGACACGCGGCCTCCACTTGCGTTTTGATGTTGTCGATCACTTCAAATCCCCTCAACGAGTTGTTGTTGGGAGACGCAGTTTTTTCTCCCGTGAAGCTTGCTGTGTCGTCGAGTAAAACCGACGCATCACATCCCTATTTTTAGTTTCGAAAGACAAAAAAAGGTTAAGAATTAACATTTACAAAATCACGAACGAAACTTGCGTGCATGCATGCATGCATTGGAAAAAAATGTCTGTAGTGTGTATGGATATATGAGACAGTCTAATTGCTAAGTCAGCGAAGCACGTAAAAAAAAGAACATTAACTAGCTAATGAGAAATTGAAAATCAACTTACATTAACGAAACAATCGTGAAAATGGAGACGAAGCAAAGACGCGCCCATACGAGCTTCGTTCGACACGGCTCGATTCACGATTCCACTAACAATCGATTGTAGGTTAGGGCACGTCGTGCTATAGAACCCCGGCAATAGTGACTGGGATTTGCTCGATCCAATCACGAGCAAGGAAAATATTAATGGAATCCAAAAATTAGTTGCCATATATGATGATTAATTAATTTAGTTATGAGTATTTGAAGAATTTTTTTCAAATGCTCAAACAGAGTTTGAATTAAGTTCTTTGGTGTGGTTCTACAAGGTTGGGTTTTCAATGTTATTTATAGCGGGTGATTGGCCAGGGATTAGTTGTGTTGCTCGTTAATTTTATCTTATTTTATTTGTGGTTTTGTTTTTTTTATTTATTTTTGTTAATAGTGTGTTGATTTATTGGTCCAACTCATGTAATTAATCAAAGATAAATCCGTGATACTTTTTCAGCGATTGGATTTATTCGTGATGTTGACCGGGCATTTTTTTTTTATTTTTTTTTCTTGATCGTTAAATAAATTTGTATTGATCAAAATTAAAAGTCATACAAGCGAGGCGGCTTTCAAGAGCGTAGTGGGTAACCACAAGTCGGTTCCTCACTGGCAAGAACAAAAATAATGAGGACAATGTTCTCCTCCAACCAAGATCTTCCAAATGCTCAAGCACTTGGCATCAACCATCCCCAATTATCAAAATTTTATACTTCAACGCTTAGGCTTTTTCTCTCAAATTCGACAAGAACACTCGGAAAAAGAGCAAAAATAGATCGGTAGACGTGGATCTTTACCTTTCTAATCACAAGACTTGGAGGTTGGATTTCGCCCTCAAAAATCAATCAGTTACGCGCATTCCAATATGTAGGGACAATACTTCAACGCTTAGGCTTTTTCTCTCAAATTCGACAAGAACACTCGGAAAAAGAGCAAAAATAGATCGGTAGACGTGGATCTTTACCTTTCTAATCACAAGACTTGGAGGTTGGATTTCGCCCTCAAAAATCAATCAGTTACGCGCATTCCAATATGTAGGGACAATATGTAGGGAAAAGTGCTAACTGGGTACGTAAAGATGAGAAAAATAATATGTGGAAATTAGTCTTAACGATTAAGGAAATTTAATTAGATGGGATAATTTTACGATTTAATGGAATTTTGAAATGATAGCGTGTGCTAATGATTATATTATGAGATTGTGATAGTATACGTAAATCAATCACTACAGTACCGTAATTAATTATTGAGATTGTGATAGTATACATAATTATTTCATTTTTTTCAACTGTATTAGCTGGAGGACGACTTGGTTAATTAATTAATTTAACTATTTGTATAGTAATAACGTTTAATTTAAGAGTTGAAAAATCTCAACGAGGTGGCGGCCAAGTCTAATAAGTCATACTGCATGCAGGTATTATATATATAGCTAAACTTTGTAAAAAAGATTAATTCTTTTCTAAAGTGAAATGAAACTAATATAATTTTTTTTTTTTTTCCAAAATTTCATGTCTAAATCTCGAGAATCTTGGCTAGTGTGCATATTATATAAATGATTATTAGTTTTGATGTGGTATCGCACTTCGGACCGGCCCTCCTTGATCCTCAACTGCTTGAGTACCCGAACACCTGCAAAGACGCCGGGAAGTGTTCCCAGCGGTAAACCTCCAACGTTCAAATTAGTATATTATCTAGAAGGGCACAGTATAGATTTTAGGGTTTGTAACGTGATTACCTCTCGTGCACCCCAACTTTACCTATTTATAAGTACCGACGTTGCGTTTGTGCCACGTCTTCGTCCTCGCCCGTTAGATGATCCAGCCCCTTCTTATATTAATGCTACACGTGTCCCTCATACGCTGCTCCTAATAACCTTTCCGTCAAGCCGCTCTCATGCGAAAATGCCATGCTAGCCCATTTACATTCGAGCCATCGAAACATCTATAATTGGGCCGCTATTATGCCTATTGGCCGAGCCAAAAGAGACCGAGCCCAAAAAGCCGAGCCACCCATTTACCCAATTATTTCTAGGTGCTATATCAAGTTTAGTGCTATTTTTTATTTGGGATATATGGCCAACTTTTTTTGAGCTACAATCTTTTTATTTATTTAATAAATTAATAAATATATAAATTAAATCATGGAAAAATAACAAAATTGCTGATCATCATATCATATAATATATAACAGCACATTAATTAATTCGTAGGTTTTATATAGCACGAATTTCATATCGACATGTATGTGGCCCAAAACCGAGCTAATTAAGACCTAAACCCGTATCTATAAACGTACTTTATGGCTAGCAAATAGATGGCTACATGAATTAATTATGCTGTGATTAATTATAATTTTGTGTTAAACTGGTTGACTAATTAAAGTATTAGAAAGGAACCCATGAGCGCTTGGATGAGATGACTTGAGTCTCTTTCAGCTTAACCAGTGGTCTCGTGTTCGAGCCCTGAGAATGCAGCAGTGCTAAAACTCTTGAGGGAGAGCTTTGCCGCCCTTGTGGTCCTACCCGGCTCGATTCCGAATTAGTCGGTTCCCCTGTGGATCCAAAAACCGGAAGGTCCTTGTACCAAAAAAAAAAAAAGTATTAGAAAGGAAATTAAAATAAATTTGAGTGAAAATAAAAATGTGAAATAATTAATTAATATAATATTTATTATTCTCCTTACCCAATTATTCACAAGTTGGCTGTGTGAAATTTCGTTGTTCTCACATGTGAAATTTCAAAGATTAACGCAGAAAAGTAAGTAAAACGAGCTAATGGACAGCATTAGAGAAAGAAGTGACATATATAGTTAGAAGATTCTATATGTGTGCAAATTAGTCAAAATATTGACAACATTGTTCCTTAAAAAAAAAAACAGTTTTATTTATTAAGAAATAGCTATCCATCTATGGAATTATCATAATCACTACTAGAAATTAGAGAATCAGAAACGGAAATTATTGTTGCTTAAGAGTATTTTTCTGTTACGAATAAGTTTTGAATATTATTTTTCGCTTCAATTCAAAATTCGTGACACTTAGTTGATAGTTGGTAACATTAGATGATTGCGAATAACTATTGAATTAGCAATTTCGAATAATAATTGATTGTATTAACAATTTTGACCATGTGATCGTATTAGTTGACTAATCAGCCAAGTATTTAATAAATAAATAGTTGTTGGCAATATATAAAAACAACCAATTTTATTACAATCTTTATGTTCTAAAAATCTCTCATTTTAAACTTTTTGAACCCAAAAAGTATTTCAATGAACCGTGTTACATAGCAAACAAATATTAATAAAATATCAAATTTCTAATTTAACTCCTCAGACGTGTGCTTGAAAAGACCCTGCTACAGTATACAGACACAGAATATTGGTAGTGTTGATTGGTTCTTTTTGATAAATAACAATAACAATAATTTGGTTTTGTTTTATGCAATGGTTTTTCTTCGGTTCATATTTATATATGGATAGTTAGGTCGATCTCCAAATATTTATTATGTTTAATTTATTTGAATGAAACTATCAATTCTGCTAAATGAAACCCCAATATTTTTAATGGTTTTGCTATGGAACCATCGGATGACTCGACTTATATAGATATCCACGAATGGTGTATTGAAACCGCTGACTTTTATTCCAAAGGATTTCTTTATTTGAAATCTAGCTTGAAATCCCCCTATATATAATTTCAGAATGCGCTGAGCCTACGTGGCTGCTTCTGGTGCTTCGGAATCCTACTTGGCGAAGAATCATGCTTCGTAATTAGGTTTGGACAGATAATATTGATATATTAATAATTAATAATCTAGGTACGGACATTCCATAAATATTATTTAGCTAACTTAGGTATTTTAATATCACTTCTACTAATATAACCCTTTAATTCTTTGTAATTTTACATAGTGAGGCACTAAGTGACTAATATATCCCTGACTTTTGATTTATTTCCTTCAATTAGCTATGTAATTATAAATGTATTTTAAAAGTTGTTAACTTTTGTATTTTTTATCGGTTTTACATATATAATATATCAAATTAATCATCTTTTCATGATCTTCGATTTGACATACATATTGTATATATAAAATAAATAAATTATATTTATGTTTATAATAATAAAAAATAATAATATATTTATTAAAATAATTTCTCAATTGATATATTTATGTTTAATGTAGTTATATGTTGTAAGTTAAAAAAATTATTATAATATAACACAAATAAGTCACACAAATAAAAAGTGTCATACTAAATATATATAATGTATATATATTAATAAAAGTTATTTAAATTTTCAATTAATTTTTCACATTAATTTTCGATTTTAAAGAAAAAATTAGCAAGCACCCGTGTAATACACGGGCGTTGTACTAGTATGAATATAATTACTTTAAAGAGGTGGAAATTATGAGCTTGGTTAAACTATCATCACTTAGTTAAATAATTATTATTTAGGAAGATATTTAAACTAATTATCTAATTAAAATTTAACTAATTAATCTATAGCAGTCACGTATTACCGAATAAAAAATTGACCAATTTAATGACAGTTTTACAAGAAATACAAATTTTGGCTGAAAATATAACGGTATATATGCTAGAAATTCTATGGTGCTACATGTGGCACCATAGATGTGACACATTATGATTGGTGCCACATCTATCACACATCATGTTGTGGCACCAATCATAATGTGCCACATCATGTTGTGGCACCATAGAATTTCTGGTATATATGCAGTAACATGACTTGTCAATAACCGACAAATTTTATAATAATTACCCAAATTAAGGATTTGTGCTTTCAAACAAAAATCATCATACCCTCAAATTAAGTGGTCAATTTTAAAAAATTACAAAATTACTATCAGCATATAAAATTCCAATGAAATTTTTTTAACACATAGTTATGAAATTTTCCTCGTTTTTTTTTTTTGGGTACATAGACGGGGCCTTGGCCCGGAAACTACGGTACTAGAATGCAACGTGGGTAGGTTACCCCACAGATGTCGTGGTCAAGCCAAGAGAGTCCAGCCCTCATTGGGGTGTCGAGATTCTGTGCAATCCTAGCGGGGAGTCAGTCGCTAATTTCGTCATCTGGTCAGTATGCAAAGTTGGCTTCCCGATGTACATGAAAAATCCGAAGGTTCCAATTTCTGCTCATCAAGTCCCGAATGGCTCGAACTAGAGATTCATTGGCACCAAGCTCTTCATGTGGCCCTAAGATCATGTTCAACTCGCTTTTTCCTCGTTAGCGCTATTATACAGCAAATTCAAATTTCGCTATCGATCATGCATGTTTTGGTAGATGTCGTAGACTTTTAGGGATTAGTAAGTATTTAAATTAGGAAGTCGTTGATTAATCAAGATTTTATTAATCTATATTTAGTTATAATTAGTTAATCATGCAAAGGGGGACAATTTAACGCGGTTTTTTTTTTTTTTCTTTTACCTTTATATTTTTCTTCTTCTTTGT